TTGCAGCAGCTTGAAGAAGCTGAGATCGATGCCATTGTTGCCGATATTGAAGCTGAGAAAGCGGCTGCTGAGGCTGCCAAAAAGGCCCCTTCAACAAGGGAAACTTAAATAAATCTGATTTCTTTTTCAATGCTTCAATTTAAGGATTGCAGTTTCATGCTGTTTATTCCGAGTTGTTTTCTGGTAAGGATCTTTTTTATCATGTTATGATTCGTAACTTGAAGAAGGATGATTTGATTGTTTGTTGACACATTTATGTATTCTTAGTGTTTCGAACTTCCATATTTCCTTCGACTCACATTTACAGACAACATCCAGTTATGCACTCTATGTAGCCTCTTTTTCATTCAGTGAGCTATTAGTTGGACCTATTTACGGCTGTTAAATCTTTGGCAAGTGGTAATCTACAAGCAGCCAAACATAGTACATCCCGAGTGGATTCTGCGAACAGTACTCGTATTATTAACTTCTCCAATTTTAGGTTTTTTTGATTGTTTCACGCTACAACGAAGCTCCTGAATCTGAAAGGGGAAAATCTAAATAGAATTAGCAATGGAGCTCCTGATTCTGAAAGGGGAAAAAACATATGGAATTAGCTTCAAAATCTGATAAAAAATAGCCGTGACAAAAGTTTTAGTCCTAGATTGACCTAAACGTTGTAAGTTCTACGCCGGGAATCTTTCCTTTGCCTTTTGTAGGTCGTGTAGGATTGGTTCACAACAAAAAACCCGATATATTTTAAAAATGAAAGATTACATATTTATAGTTGCAGAGGTTCAAATCATTTGATTCGATTCACTTAAGATCTATATGTAAGTCCACAATAACAATAATATCTTATGATAATATAATTTTTAATTCTTAATAATTTAACTTGGGTACAATGTACAAACACTGGCAAATTATTGATAGATGTATCATTACCATCTGATGAATAGCTGCTTAGTTACAAATTATTGATGGTTTCATGATTAAATAGAGATTATTATTATAAATAGTTTGAAAAGAAAGATGGGGGCTAGTTGAATTTCCGAGGCCTGCTATCCGATGGGCCTGCAAGATTAATGGATAGTTGACGGGCTTAAACTGGCCTACTTCATGTATTTTTGTTACATACATGGATAGGCAGCCCAGCCCGTTTGTGGAAGAAATAACAAGAACAACGGTGAATACGGTGAATTGATTTAATAATGAATGAAAATAATTATAATGAAGGAAAGTAATAGAACAAAAATTGAGAATATTAATTGATAACTGAAAGTAAGCATCACATGGTGGCTTAAGGAGCATCCTCTTTACCTACCCCTAGAACAATTAAACAAAATGAGTTGTTTTTATAAAATATTTTTTACTACGCATTAAAGTTTGAGTTTGCTCGACTCGTTTGCTTGTTAAGGCTCGAGTGTGCTCAAACGAGCCAAACTCGAGCTAGAGCTCGTTTAAAGCTCGAGAGCAAAAGTTTTTGCATACATTTTAAAAAAAAAAATTATTGTACATCAACTTAACTCGTTAAAGTTCATGATCAACTCGTTAGTATTTATGGACGAGCTGAACACAAATTTATTTGTAAATCCATTTAATAAGTCGAAAAATAGACATGTAAATA